GATTCAACCTGGAAATAAGGGGAAAAAATTCTGACAGAACAATCAACCGATGGAACAGAAATTGCCTTCAGACGTTGTGGGAGCTGCATCACTGGAGGCTTTCAGGAAGAGACTGGACTGATATCTGTCAAAAATGGTGTAAGGTCTGCTTGGGCGGAGGGTTGGACTAGATGACCTACAAGGCCCCTTCCAACTCTGTTCATCTGTATCTATGTGAACTCCTTTGTCATTTGAGTCCTTATATCATTCAAGGTAGGCTTTGTCCTATAAATCCTTTGTGGCTGAAGCTAGGATCCTGGTGAGGGGACAGAAAAGATGCCATATAATAGCCCAGCCAAGAGAAGGGAGAGCTGGGATGGGGTGTGTGTGTGTGACCTGGTCGCCTTCCGAATGCTTCGTTCAGCAGGAGAAAAGCCGTTTGGCCTGGCAAACGGGCCCCAATCCAACCCTTAAGGCTCCATCAGAAAGCGGAGATGAAGGGGGCTCCATCTGTACGTCTGCGCTCCCGTTGAATAAAGGGTGGGGAAGCGGGGAAACGCAGCTGCTTGGCTGGCCGGGGTGGGAAGAAGCTGCCTGACTGTTGGCACCATCTGTGGCTGGCTTTGTGCTCGGCACTTGATCTGTTCATTATACTGGGAAGAGAGAGAGAGAAGAGAGAGAGAGCCTCTCGTGCTCGGGGTATCAATGAGACGAGATGCCGGAGCCTCAGTCAGAAGCCGCAGCTGAGCCTGCCGGACGGACGGTGAATGGCGGAATCCCTAAGCGCCTTGTGGGTTTGCGGGGGGCACATTTCAAGGGGGGGTGGGAAGAGAGCCATCAGATGCAGTCAACCCTGTATTCAGTTTATCTGGTCCCATTAAAAGCAGAGTTTGCACTCATTCCTTGCCCATCAGAAGAGGGGCGAAGGTATATTTTTGCCCTCATTGCTGTTCATTGAAGGTGGACCTTTGGTGCCTCCTGCTTGGATCTTTATTTTCTTTTCCTTTCTTTTCTTTTCCTTTCTTTCCTTTCTTCTTTATCTTTCTTTCTCTTTCCCTTTCTTTCTTTCTTTCTTTCTTTCTTTCTTTCTTTCTTTCTTTCATTCTTTCCTTCTTTCTTTCTTTCCACTGCAAGAGCAGCCACATATATAGTGTGTGGCAGTAAGTCAAAAGAAATAAATAAATCTGCCTTTTCTTCCTTTTTCTCTCTAAATCAATCCTTCCTTCCTTCCTCTCCTCTCCTCTCCTCTCCTCTATCTCTTTTGTCCCTTCTTCTCTCTCCTTTCCCTTGTCATAGGCTAAATAAATAAATCACCTTTTCCTTCCTCTCTAATTCCTCTCTCCCTCCCTCCTTTATAGCTACTTCCTTCATTCCTCTCCACTTCTCTCCTCTCCCTCCTCCCTCCCTCCCTTTCTCTCTCCCTCCTTTCTCACTCTTTTTCTTTCTTCTTTCTGTTTCTCTTTCTTTTTAGACACTTCGCAAGGGCAGCCACATGTATACTTTGGGGCAGTACTCAAATTAGTGATAAGTAAAGTCTAGTTCAGCGGTCTCCAACCCACCCACCCCTTATCAGGCCTTGAGACCTTTGGAACCGGGCCACAGAAATGGTGGATGACCGCGAGTGTGCATCTCCACTTGTTTGAGTGGCGGGCAAGCATGTGTGCCTGCTGCTCACATGGGTGGAGCTGTACATTTGCCTGTGGCTCACATGAAGCTATCCCCTCCCTCCCTCCTCCTCCCTGCCCCAGCCAGTCCACAAAGCTGGGAAGTTTAGGGAACTCTGGTCTAATTGGCCATCACTGCAGACAACCTGCACAGAAAGGTGCATTATTGTGAGCAGTCCACAGTCATTTGCTGAGAGTCAACCAACCAAAGAAATAAACCTTTGCTGCTCCTGGCCACTTCCTTTTTACATTCTGCTTTTTCATTCTTCCTCCTTCCAGATCCATCATTAAAAACAAAAAAAAAAAAAAAACAGGCGACAGTTTGTGTCTTTTTACCTTCATTGACAGAATTTGCATTTGCCGCATCCTTAGAAAAGAGCAACTCGCACACCTTGCTTCCAGGCTGCCATCGTGAAGATGGATGTTTTCCATCTAAGGCCATCGTAGTTACATTAAGCTGGCGAGAAGGTGCATCGCATTGGCAATTGTTCCAGCGCTGGCTGAGTTTTTCAATTTGCCAGAATGTTTTGTTCATTCTCTTTTTTCATCCTTGTTCTCCTCACCACCCCCACCCCCTTTCAGAATTCAAATGGCTATCGTACAATGTTAGGTAGTGATTGTTATCTGCAGCGGCTGTGTAAAAATGAATGAAAAGAAGGAGGTTGTGTAACCTTTTGTTGCTGGCCCATTAGTCATGTTCTCTGGGGGTGAAAGATGACCCCCCCCCCCCTTTCGATCAAGAGGTTGTTGTCAAATTCCTTGGCTAATGCAGAAACATTTAGACCTCTGCTTATAACACACCCCACCAGATCAAAATAAGAATACTCCCTAAAAGGGCTTGGTTTCTTCACATTCAGAACGACCACTTTAATTGCTGGCTGTGGGATGTGTTACTCTTCTTATTGTAGAGTTGCTTTAAAATGTTTTTAGGGAGCTTCCCAAGTAAGAGAAACTGCCTGTTGCTTCCTCTCTTTTTTTGTTTTGTTACAGAGGCTGTGCCTTATTGAGAGTGTGGTCGAAGCCCCAGATATGGAAATCAGGAAGACCTAACAGAATAACCGAGTTGGAAGGGACCTAACTGGAAAATAAGCCTTAGCATGAATTTTTCAGGACGCTTGTAATATAAGCCCTACCCCCCAAAATAAGCCCCAGTTAAGATCGGCAGCCAGATGGACACATTTTAATACTGAATTTCCCACCAAAATAAGACCTAACCAGAAAATAAGCCCTAATGCATCTTTTGGAGCAAAAATTAATATAAGACCCAGTCTTATTTTTGGGTAAACACAGTACCATGCAGTAAAGAAACAGAACCTTGGGATTTCATTAATTTCCATTACAGTAAATTCAGAAATGCAGGTAGTCCTCGACTAAAATTTTTGTTGCTAAGTGAAAAATTCATTTAACTGCTGTTTTGCTTAGCAAGGGATTTTTTTTTTCTGCTTAGCAACAGAAACAGATTGGAGTATGACGCCTTTATACCTGTATTTCTGAATTTACTATGTAACACTGTCAGAATGTCAAGCTGGTCATAGCTATTATAAGACAACAACAGATATTTGGGAGTTCTGAAACCTTCTCTTTGGGATGAAAATGTATATTTTCTAGTAGGTGACATATTGTAGAACAACTCTTAACTCTTTTTCATGGTAATGAAATGGGGAAATGTGTTAACAGAGATTAAACTAGATGTTTATGGAGATTCTCAGTCATCCAGGTATTGGTTGTCCCAAAGGTGCTTTTTTTTCAAGAGGCAACTGGATTTTCTTGATTTTTTTTTCTTTTGAAGATGTTTCGTTTCTCATCCAAGAAGCTTCTTCAGCTCTGACAGGATGGTGGGAAATGGAAGGATTTATACTCCTTGTAGACAGCTGGTCATTTGCATCCTTTTAGAGAGCCGTTGAGGCCACTTGGAGGTTTATCTGTGTCCTCAAGGTCACCTGAGTGGTGCAAAAGGGTATGGAGCCTTTTTGGAACTGCTGAAAGGACTGTATTGTAGACTGGAGATAGATGATGTCATATTCCTTCCTCTCTGTTGAGACACAGCTGTTCAGTTGTGACGTAGATAGCCTCTTTGACCCCTCTTTCAAACCAGAGGTCCTCTTTGTCCAAAATGTGGACTTTGTTGTCTTCAAAAGAGCGACCTTTCTCTTGTAAATGCTGGTGGACTGCTGAATCGTGTCCTGATGGGTTTGTTCTCCTATGTTGTGCCATGCGTTTATGAAGTGGACTAAAGTAGCTTGGAGACTATCTTTCCAGACGTTGCTCCTCTCATACTCATTCCAGACTCAATCCAACCTTTCCTCATTGTAGTAGAGGTCACATCACATACCTAGAATCATACTAAGACAATATTCTTTCGCAAGTCTTTGGAGTCCAACAAAGGAAGGGTGGCTTGGTGGCTTTGCCTCTCCCTCTTGTAGCAACCGCTCTGAAGTTTTGTTTCTGTTTTTTAGGTTTTAGATATTTTTTTTTAACCCTGCCTTTCTTATTGTTTATAACTAACTCAAGGCAGCAAACATGCCAAATATTCTTTCCTCTTGTAATTTTTTTCCACAAAAAACAAGGTTGTGAGGTGGCCTGAGAAAAAGTGACCAACCAAGTCACTTGCCCACTCATCTAGTCAGTTTTTCCGATCTAAGGCAGGACTAGAAGTTACAGTCCCCTGGTTTTAGATCAGCACCTTAACCATTACGCCAATCCCTCCCATCAGCCCTATTTCCCTTCCTTCCATCCTCCCTTCTTCCCTCCCTCCCTTTCTTCCTTCCTTCCTCCTCCTTCCTTTCTTCCTCCTTTCCTTCCTTCCTCCCTTCTTTTCTTCCTTCCTTCCTCCTTTCCTTCCTTCTTCCCTCCCCTGTCTTCCTTCCTCCCTCCCTCCTCCACCCCCTCTTCCTTCCTCCACCCCGTTCCTTCCTTCCTCCCTCCCTAAATTCCTTTCTTCCTCCATCCCCTTCCTTCCTTCCTCTTTTCCTTCCTTCCTCCTTCCCTCCTTTCTTCCTCCCTCCCTTCCTTTCTTCCTTACGTTACCGTATAGAAGGGAGCAATAAAAATGGAGTGGGACCCTGATTCTTTGCCCTGCCCTGATGATCAGCTGGGGGGGGGACCATGCTTATGCCCCCCCCCATCTCTATAGCATTTGGTAGCTGGTGGAAGAGACAAATTTTGCATGATGGCTTCTATTTGAGAGATTGGGCAGAGCAAATGGCACGATGCAGAAGCTCTTTGTGGATTTACATGAATGAAATTAAGATCGCCCAATGCAATCAGTTCCATTGCTTAGACACCTGTTCCCACAAACGATTATATATTTTCTTTCTTATCTCTCTCTCTCTCTCTCTTTCCCTTCTTCTCCCCCAGCACTGCTTTCATCGTGGTGTGAAGAACTCGGAAGACTCTTGTTGCTACGTCACCAGAAAAGCCGGCAAAACGACCCTCCGGGGAAGCTGCCCATGCAGACACCCATGAACTCCATGAAACCTTCCCTTTCACATAGGTGAGTCCCGGGCAAATATTTCCCCTGAAACAACATGTGCAAAATTAGTTCCCGTCAGAAAATGTTCTTTTGAATAATCGCCACTGTAATGTGTACACCTTCCCAGAAGAAAGCTAGACTGAGCGTGGGTTTTCAGATGCTCAAGTTAAAACCCCTGTGTCATTGTGTCAGTTAGAAATGAGTCCCCGCAGCCACAGTTTTTGGGTTTGCTGACTTATTATTATTATTAATAGATTTAATCTTCAGTTCGATTCACAGTCTGGGACTGGTAAAAACTTAACAGTTCAAGTCTTAACCAAGGACCTAAGAGCTGTTAAGGCAACGTCTGATTATATATTATTATTATCAGCATATGGCATTGTTGCAGTAGCCAGGGGATCACAATGCTATTGCAGAATAGTAGTAGTGTTGCTTGCCAAGGTAGAAGAAACACCTGCGCACTTCCCAAGGTGCGCCACAGGTGAACAAGCTGGCTTTGCACCAGAGAGAAAGACGAGGGGCTCTTCCTGCAGGCCCCCCTCCCTGCTGGAGGCCCCCTTTCTTCCCAGAGGCCCCCTCCCTTCCCAGAGCTGCCTTGCAAGCAGGCACCGCAATTGGGAAGATTCAGAACCAACAGGAATCTGACTGCCTACACGGAGCACCAGCTCGTCTCCCCACTAAAGTGATGCCTATTTTACCTACTCGCATAGAGCATGCTTTCGAACTGGAAGGTGGGCAAGCAGATGAGGCAGGTGACGGGAGCTCACCCCACCACACATAGTAGGGCTCGACCCGCCAGAGCATCTCCTGGGTGATTCAGCCACTGGGCCTCATGTTGCTGACTTATTTCTCTCTGTATATAATTGCTGAGTTATTTCAACTATAACTCGGGATTCCAGATCTATGGAAAATCGATGGATACCTACTTTGTCATGTAGTTATTACAAATGGAGCAAATAGAACAGAGTATTTTGTCCCAAAGCAGGACAAAACCACAACCAGGCCTCAGAAAATTTCCCAAATTCTTTGATTTATAGCTCAAGAAATATTTACACCTCTCCAAGTTGGTTTTTTTTAAAAAAAAAAAATTCAATCTATCCGTCATTGAAGGACAATCTCTCTCTCTCTCCAGCTTGCATAGGAAGTGGAGAAGGTTTGGTTATATCTGAGCTCTCCTATTATTCAGAAAGATTATATGAGAGCTGAGTTCCATTAGGACAGGCTTTAAAGTATTTGCTTATTGTTATATATCGGTAGTCCTCAATTTATGACCAAAATTGGGCCTGAAATTTTGGTCATGAGTTGAGGTGGCTGTTAAGCTGGACCTCCCACGAGACGTGAGTTGATTCTACAACCATTTTTACAATGATCTTAAGGCAAGGCCCACCACTGATGTTAAGAGAACCACCTGGTCATTAATTGAGCCAGGTGGCTGTTAAGCCAATCCAGCATATCCAATGGGCAGTTTTTGTCAGTTTCTACCCAAAAACAACAACATTGCAAATGGCAATCACATGAACCAAGGGCTGCTGTAACCAGTCATAAATGCAAGTTGGTTGCCAAGCACCCAACATGCACTCACTGTAACTTCAAATGGATGTTAAATGAGGGCTATCCTTTGTGCAAATAAACTTTTAGAGAAGGTGTGTGGGGGAAAAAATGATTGTTTTGTTTCATGGTCACTGGTGGGCTATTCTCTAAGTACTGATAGGCATCAACATCTCATCTGATGTTATTTTGATTTTATTATTGTAAATTTTACAGATAAATGAAAACTTGTCATTCATATTGACAATACATCATCTGTATGTCTATTATTATAAAAGAATGATAACAATACGTCCTGTAATAATATCTTGAACACCATCAAACAAGAACTTCTGCCTCTCCCACTCCCTACTGCTACTCAATAGGTGTATAAAAATGCCAAACCCAGTCTAGAGTTTAAAAAAAAAACACCCTCCCCTTTACAACCCTGTAATCCCATAGAGTTGGGTCGACTGGATGGAGCTGAGCGTTTACTGGCCAGCTGCCCTTCCTGACACCTATGTGGAGTTCACAGCAGATTTTTTTTTTCTTTGCACTTTAGGAGAAAGATATCCACCGCTATCTAGAACTGAACTCTCAACCTTCTGAATGGGAGGCAAACATCTTTGGCCGTCATACCGGTCAAATCCAGTCTAGGCTATCCAATGTAAATATCTGTTCAACCAACGACAATACCTTAGATCTTTGGTCAGAACTTGAATTACTAAGTTTCCACCAGGCTTAGACTAAGAAGCTAACCCTAGATTGCCCATGTATGCAATAATAACATTGGTATTATTAAACAAAATCAATGTCAACTCCAGTCTAAATTTCTGGAGACTATACAACCAACCATAATAACAATAGCCAACATACCTCGGTGTTTTTGAAAGTGTACTTAAAAACAACAACAAAAGAGGTAAACAAAGAATGCAGAAAAGTTGCAAAGCTAGAAGCGGTAGAGAGGAACAATCTCATGGGCCTTCCAGGTATCATCAGGTATCCAGGTCATGAACATCATAGCAGGTGCTTTCTAAGAACGTGCCATGCGCTTTCCCAAAGGTGCTTTTTTCAAGAGGCAAATTGTTTTTCTTTGAAGACGTTTCGCTTCTCATCCAAGAAGCTTCTTCAGCTCTGACTGGATGGTGGGGAATGGAAAGATTTATACTCCTTGCAGACAGCGGGTCATTTGCATTCTTTTTAGAGAGCCGTTGAGGCCACTTGGAGGTTAGTTTGTGTCCTCAGGGTCACCTGAGTGGTGCGAATGGGTATGGTGCCTTCTTGGAACTGTCGAAAGGTTTTTGCATTCCTTCGCTATCTCTGCCTACCTCTATGCAGTCAACCTTTACCTGGTCAAAGACCAGCTGGTTTTTCTTACTCTCCAAGGTATCCTTTGGAACCAACTTGAAAACTATCATTCACAGGCTTCCTCACTATCCAGCTTAAAATTTATATAGAACGTCTGGCAAAATCCATTGCTAAAACTATTCTGAATAGCTTTATCTTTCATAGTTTTGTTTTCACTTGCCCTTGTCTTCCTTCCCGGGCTTAATCTCATCTCTACTTCTCCTGCACTCTGTCCATATTTATTCTCGAGCTCAGGGAAGCAACCACTTCACTTCCCAAAAATATATTTAAAAAGTTGAGTACTTTTTCAAGGTATTCCCCTCCTAGCGGTGTCCCACTTGGGAGGGTTGATAAGTTGCATCAGCCCATCATCTCCATTTCCTTGAGGGAGCCAGCATTGTGTGAAGACAATTTCTGTGGTCATGTGGCCAACATGACTCTATACTGAAGATGCATGGAATGTTGTTAATCTTCCCACCAAAGTGGTAGCTATTTATCTACTCACATTTGCATGCTTTTGAATGGCTGGATTGGCAGGAGCTAGAGGGGCAGTACTTGGGCCTTAAACTGCCTACCTTCTGGTCGACAAGCCCAGCCTCCTAACCACCAGGCCATCATGCCCCCCCCCCCCCCCCCGCTTCACTTCTTACCATCAATTATAAATTTGCTCTGCTTGCTGATTGATGTTACTGCTATCTTTTTAGCGTTTAACTTTCAGCCAGATTTTTCATTCCCCATTGTCTTTTTTTAATAAAATAAAATATTTTCTTTCAGCTAGTGAGGTGGGATCATCCACATACTTGAAATCATTAGTGTTTCCCTCTCTTGGATTTAAGCCACCATGGAGAATGTCCTTCTTCTGGGTCCTACCAGATGTATCTCCTTAGGGAATGAGACCTGCAATATTTTTTTGCCTCCCCACTCTAGTGGGTCGGGTGGATGGCCCCCTCAGATAACCCAACCATCCATTGTTTCCATCTGTTGCTTCTTGACCTGCCTTCGGGTGCTTTAGAGAATAGGTTGACCTTTTTCTTGGTGCCAACCCATCAAATATTATCTATGGAGCTTCTCAGTCATCCAGCTTATGGTTGTCCCAAAGGTTCTTTTTCCAAGAGGCAACTGGACTTTCTGTTTTTTTCTTTGAAGACGTTTCGCTTCTCATCCAAGTTGCCTCTGGAAAAAGCACCTTTGGGGGCCTCCAGTATTGGAACCCTGCTGTCATGTCTCCCCAAGTCCTTCCTTTCACTACGCAAGGCCGCCATGTACGCTAGATTTGAAGGATGGTGCTGATTTTAATACGAAACACCACTTTTGGTTTTTGGCGAAGAATTTAGCAAAATAGTTTATCGCTTATCTAGTTACATCAGCCAAGGGTCTTGGTAGAATTGCAGGTGTTCCATCCTGCAAATGTGGAACTTTAAGGGAGCAACCACGATCGCTGCTGTTTGGCAATCACAAAGCAACAATTGGTTTCATGAACTTGGCTTGGATTGTCCTTTGCATGAAGACATCTGTAGGCACACCTTCAGACATGAGTCTAGTTCATCCTGTCTTTCTCTTTGAGGCAGAAAATGCTATTCCACCAAGAAGCTCTCACTTTTATCTGAAATGAGCACCTATCTTAATTCAAGCTATTGATTGAACCAGAAAAGTAGTAGTTGTGAACAGGTTTCCCTCTCCTCCCCTGGAAAACAAGGGATAACAAGTCACAAGCCTGGCATTTAGCCAAACCCTTTTATGAGTGAGCATCAAAAGTGTTGCCTTGGCATGTGGCTTTCAGATCGCTTTCAGTAGATAAGCATAGACCTGTCACCGCTGGAGTCTGTCCTAGGTTCGTGGCAAGATGTAGGAGATCCTTGACTTATGACTCCAA